AAATCTACTCTGTTCAATGGTTCAGTGCTTTTCAGATTATCCTTCTTAAGGTATTTCTGCCAAACTCTTTCTTTCATTTGTCAAGTATATATAAGCCTTTGGGTTTTTGTTTTTTTAAAGGATTTCAGTCTAAACAAAACCTGTCCATGTTTTATGGTCTCCCTCCTCCCTCAATTTTCCTCTTTTTTTTCTTTTACAGAACTTTATTGATTTTTTTTAATAAAAAAAACAAGATTAAAAGATAAATGGGCAAGAAAAAAGAACTGAAAAAGAAAAAAGGTTAAGAAAAAAGAAAAATAAATGTGCAAAAAAGGAAAGAAAAAATAAGAAAAATAAAAAAGAATGACTTCTGACTTTCTTTGGTACAGATACAAATAAACAATACAGCAAACTCCTACTTTAAGGTCTACGTGTGTATAATTCCATATAATTCTCATTGTCAAATCCCAAAATCAACATTTCATTTCTTATAGTTTCTTGCAAAAAATTCAAAAGTGATTTTCAAGTAGAAATAAGATTGATCAAAGTCTTTTTTTTTTTAATCAAAGCTCTCAAATTAATCATCTCAATTAAAATCTATCACCTTTACCATCCATTCTTCCATGTAGGTATTTGTAAGTCCTTCTACTTTTGTGGATATAAAAGTCTCACCACTGTTATCATATATGAAAACAAAGTTTCATAAGATCTTTCAATCTATTTGTCCATTAAACCAACAAGAAAAATCTCTGGCTGTAATCATAGATTCACTTTAAAATCTTCAGAATCAAGTGAAAGCTGAAACATAACAATGAGAGCTCAAGGTGGAGTAAAACATTTTTTTAAAAAAACTTTCAATAAATTTTAGAAACCCCTGACACTGAATGCCAAGAATATTCTTATTCCTTAAGTCATTTCTTCTGCTTCACAGCTAATTTAAAACTAGGGGTGGGGAAAATTACTAAAAACCAGGTGGAAAATTCTAACTTTTTGAGTTCTTCACTCCACATGCTACAATTTCAGGGGTGTCAAACTGGCAGCCCACGGCCTGGATGTATCACACACAGGCCACGCCCACCCCACCTCTGTAAATGGGAAAACCATCACAAAACATCATGTGACTGCAACATGACGCCACAAGTTTGACACCCGTGTTCTAGTTAATCAAAGGGCTGATGCTGCATAGAGAGCCAGCACAAAGATGGTCAGCTTTAGAAGAGAGCAGAGAAAGCACAAACAAGTTAAAACACCACAATCTGTTTGGAAATGCCCATGGACTCCTTCAGATGGCCTCCACACTGTTCTATGACAAATCAGTACAATCTGCACGTTGTCACCTATATATGAGAACATCGAATGTTGCTGTATACAAGTCAGAACATTCAGTTGTCTAACTTAGAACTGTCTACTCCAAAAGGAAAACTGGCGAGTCTCCCACAGGTTAGTGAACTGCATCTTCTAGCAAATGCCATCCCTGGTCATGATAGCTGGGGCTGCTGGAAATTCTGTCACCTGACAGAATCACAGTCATCCTCCCATCCTTATCCTATTTCCGACAGCACATTTTCTCACGAACGAAGGCAATCTCAGGGTGACTTCATCAGCAAACTGGAAAAAGAAAATTGGCGAGGATTAAAATGTAAACCAAGTGATTGCTCAATAGCAGCAAACAGCAACTTAGCTAATAAAATGTCCACTCAAAGGGAAAGGGAGTGGATGGGTGTGGATGTGCACCTGGATCCTTACAGAACATAAGTGCCAGGAACCTTGCCTAGCTGCTAGCTGCAATCCATAATAATTCGATCATTTATTCTGCAGCAGCCCCAAATGTCTTAAATCTCCCAGCTACCTCTCCAGCCTCCTAGAAGTGCTGAAGATATGGCTGTGTTGTATAGTCAACAGCACACAAGGATTCAGCATGAAAGGAAACCTGAGGTAAATTCATCTCATTAGCTGTGCCTGTGTTTTATCGCTTCCTACCCCACCCCAGTCCCTGGAATGCAGAAGGTTGATAGGGTCCTTTATAAAGCCTTTAACTGGCCTGCCAGGCATCAAAGGAAAAGTGCTTTTTAAAATAAGCTAACATTGATGTAAAGCCAGGGCAGAGCATATTTCTTCCCCTCAATGCAAGTCAGAAAAAGAAAGAAGGTGGTGTCCTGTTTGAATTTCAGTTTTCATCACTGGAGGTGGGGAAGTTTCTAGCTCTCATGGCATTGAATAACAAAATGCATGCAAGAGGCAGGAAGGAGAGACAAGACGATAGGTACTTATTCTCCTCTGCAGATGACAGAGGCAGTGCATGATTTGTCCTCTTTTCCTGGAGGGAGGATAATCAGAGCCACTTCTCAAAAATGAAATTGGTGTCCTCACAGGGGTCCTTCTTGCTCTGGTATCTATTTGAGTTCTGCAGTTTTTTTATAGACAGAGAGATACCTCCTTCCTTATTCTTTTGATGAGCTTCCTATCTGCACAAGACCTGCTATATTTCATTATTTTCTGATTGAACTTCTGGCCTGGGTGGAATTTAGATGCCCTAGTAGGTTATTTCAGTCTGACAATTGATATACAGTATATCAAGGCCCCTAGAAGCCTGTCATGCTGTAAATCAGGGTGCGTAACTTATGGCCCTCAGCCTAATTTTAAGAAAGTTTAGCAAAGTTTCAGGTTATTTCAGAAAAATCTCCATGACAAATTAATTCAGACTCTTAGCAGCAAGAGCAGTACGATCGAGCCTATAGCTTGAGGAGTATACCAATAGCACTAAGACTTATATACCACTTCCCAGTGCTTTCCAGCCTTCTTTAAACGGTTTACAGAGTCAGCCTATTGCCCCCAACAATCTGGGTCCCCATTTTACCAATCTCGGAAGGATGGAAGGCTGAGTCAACCTTGAGACCGTGAAAATCGAACTGCAGAATTAGTTTGCAATATTGCATTTGATGTTTGGGAGAGCTTGCAAAAGAAAGGGAGAGAGAGGAATCAGAACAGAATAGATTAAATCTTTGGGGTAGAGATCATGCCAGTATTATTAGGCAGTAGAAATGGTAGATGTCATAGGTCTTTGCTGCATTCTTTCTTGGGATGGTCCCCAAAGGCATGAAAGAGCAATATATCTTCTGAGAAATTAGTAGGAAACTTCCACAAATTTGGTCCTCTCTATCATTATTATACAGCATGTGGAACTATGAGGAGAGTGAGACTTTGGGATAAGTTATTACTACTTTGGTCTGTTTCATCTCCAAACCAGCGTCTGGTGAACCCAATTAGCTAAATAAGTAGTAACATGGCAGTAAATGTAATGATCTGGCCCATCAGTGCCAGGTTAGGTTTCAACTCCATATTAGGAGCCAAGAGGCTAGCTGGATCATCCATGTGTTTTCTATCCATTGTGCCAAAATCAGCCTTGCAATGTCTCAGTTTTCTCCCCTTGCAGGAAAAGATTCTATTGATTTTTCCTTATGTTCAGAATATTTGTCAAATTTCTCTTGGGGATGCCTTGAGTTTACTTTATTGGCGGAGTCAGCAGAAGATGCTATTATTGATGTTGTTGCTTTTTTGTGTTACATAGCTTTCCATCACTCCAATCATACACTTTCTGTATGCCCACATTTTACAATAAAAAACAAACACCAATGATAGGAGATGTTTTATGATATCTTCCCTTAGAATATAATGGAAGCATGAAAAGTGAGGGAGGATGCAGACAACTGGAGACAGGATGGGCCACTGAAAGACCGAACCATAATACACCATCCAATCACTTTCTAGGTCAATATTGTAAGGGAAGTTTTCCCTAGCCAAGTTCTCTTCTCTTCTGAGGAAATTTGAAAAGAAATTTCTTTCATAAACTTGAATGAGAACAAATAGGAAAAAATGCATGACACATGCTCCATTAAACCAGCTATATCGTTTGATGAATGTTACCTTTCTGAAGTATGGGCACCTTGCAAATTCCATTTGTACTCTTGTACAAATCGTCCTTGAACTTACAACCACAACTGAGCCCAAAATTTCTGTTGCTAAGCAAGACATTCATGAAATGAGCTTTGCCCTATTTTCTTACCAAAGTTGTTAAGTGAATCACTGCACTTGTTAAATTAGTAACACAGTTGTTAAGGGAATCTGGCTTCCCCATTCATTTTGCTTGTTGGAAAGTCACAAAATGTGATCACATGACCCCGGGACAGTGAAATTTTCATAACTATAAATTAGTTGCTAAATTTTGATCACATGACTATTGGGATGCTGCAACAGTTGTTGCCCGTGTGAAAAAAGGTCATAAGTCACTTTTTTCAGTACTGTTGTAATGTCGAATAGTCACTAAATAAACTGTTGTAAATTGAGGACTCCCTGTATTCATTCTGTGTGTATATGTGTGCATATCTATGTGTGTATGTATCAAAATAATGCTGAACGTCTCTTATATAAATTATAAGTTCCATGTGTCTGCATGTTGAGTGCATCCAAACTCAGGAAAAAGAAAGAAAATAAATCCTCAAACATAACTCCAAAATGTGCCACTGGATAGAATATGACAATATCCTGGCAATGGTTAAAATAATCCATGAAAATAATTCTTTATGCTCTCTGTTATTTTCCCATCATTTTTATGACTGTTCATTTGGGTAACTGCAAAATACAGCCCCCTGCCAACAAAGATGACAGTCTTTGCTGACATCTAGTGGCTACAGAAATTAAGAATGGTTCCAATGTCTCCATTTCATTTACATGGAGAATTCATGTATTGGATTTCAGTTGTCCAGCAACCAGGCAGGCTGGAGTAATTGGAGCTGAGTTCATCACATTGAAAAGGCTTCAGGTTGGTTTATGTTCTTTAAAAGATTTACATTCTCTTCTATTCTTTCAACAAAGCCTGAATTTAAACACTGGTAAATGCATCATTTTTTTAACCCACCATGAAAAATTGAAGTGTATGTTCATGTATATATTTGAATATTTTCCTTTGGGTTGTTTGTCATCTTATGTTGTTTTGCTTTTAAAAAAAGATTAACAGTTCTTGAAGAACAAAACAGCTTCTGGAGCCCAAAAGTGTATGGATTAACTATCCAGCCTCTATCGGTTGTGCTAGCAAAGGTATTCATGAATCCAATCCATCAAAGGTATGCATCTTTTCCATTTTTAAATCACAAAATTGGTATTTGTTTCATTAGGCAACTTTTCCTAACATACATACATGAGAGCCTCGGTAGCGCAGTGGTTAGAGTGCAGTACTGCAGACTACCTCTGCTGACAGCTGGCTGCCTGCAATTTGGCAGATCGAATCCCACCCGGCTCAAGGTTGACTCAGCCTTCCACCCTTCCAAGGTGGATAAAATGGGGACCCAGATTGTTGGGGGCAATATGCTGACTCTGTAAACTACTTAGAGAGGGCTGTAAAGCACTATAAAGCGGTATATAAGTCTAAGTGCTATTGCTATTTCAGATGCATTTGGAACAGAACTTGTCCCAAAATGTTGTTGTGATATGCAGCTGACCTCAACATGTGTGCACAAAAACATACTGTTCCAAATGTGCATTTTTTTTAAATTTACGTTGAAAAAAATTGAAAAAAAATATTTTGACTCAGATGTTAGCAGATTCAGTAAATTATATGTTTAACTCATAATTTGCTGTGCTGAATTAAATTTCAGCTACATCTTTCTTTGATCATACCACATTCATGTCAAAGGATGAGCGCAGACATCTAAAAACAGTTCTAAAATCATTTCCAACAATGCAATTCTTGTGATAAAAGAGAGAACAACACTCTTGCTCATGTCCTGCATTTATTTGCTGTTTCTCAATTTCAGCAGTTAAGAAAGAAAAAACCCTGAACTAAGATTATTTGTTCCACTATTGTTCCAGGAATCACAGAGAGACCTCTGAGACACACTATTTTCAATCTATTTTCTGAAAAGGAGAAGGAGGCACTTTTCAGGTCTTTCTGTAGCTATGGAAAGGTTTGCATTGCTTCTCCAGTTTTCACCATAATTCTTCTCATAATTTTGACCAAGACAGAGCAAAAAAGAAATCAAAAAAGCACTCCAGGGTTTTATAGATCTGGAGAATGAAGAAAGAAGTCCATCAATGTTAAGAACTAGCATAATTCATAACCTTTCTAAGCAAACCTCTCAGAAGAAAACTTTGGGTGGAGGGGAATAAAACACATAAAATAAATAAAAACCCTATTCTGTGCTTCTGATACCACCTCAAGAGGACTTTAAATAAAATAGCATTTTCCAATTCCCCTCCATTTCTTGCTCTATTAAGTTTTCCTGTTCTATGCAACAGACCCTTCTCTAATTGGCATGACGATTTGCCCTAACACAGACTTGTGTAGCAAAAAGTATGTTATGGAACACAAGGACTGTGTATGTCTCAGGAGTATATTTGATCCTCGACTCTTCTTGCAAATGTTGTACATATCCATCACAATGGAGTATTTTTAGGACACCTGAACAAAGCAATGCAGAGGATCTTAGAACGTTTTTAGGAAAATTTGGGCAAGATGAAACTGGTTTGACTATTTTAAAGATAAAACTGCACTTTCCTTTACTACCAGTATTCAAGTTGCTTTTTAGCTCTTCCCTGGCTTTTCACCAAGGCAGATTTTTCCAAAATTTGGACTTTTCCAGGAAGAATTTTCCAGGAAGGCTTACAACAGAGGTGGGATGTTACCGGTTTGGCCTGGTTCTGCCAAGCCGGTAGCTCCGAAGGTCAGCGGAGACCGAAACGGTTCTCTCAGATGATCTGCTGTTGGGGCCACCCGCCCGGGCTCCCATATGGACCTTTACATCCTGCTTCTGAAGTGCAGCTGCTTTGCGCGGCACAGCAGATTGGCGCATGTCAGCTGTTATAGATGCAGGGAAAGTGCAGGATTGAAGGAGGTGAATAGGAAAGCCTCTGCATGTACGCAAAGTGCACATTTGGTGTGTGAGCACACGCAAAGTGTTTGTGTGTGCGCAAAGCGTGCCTATCCAGCCACAGCCACCGAATTGGTGGAAACCACTTTGAAACCCACCACTGGCTTACAACTTTTTCTTCATTAAGGAAGGAACAAACTTGGCATGAAGATTCCTTTGTCCAAGATTCCATACTCCAAAAAGGAAAGCTAGAAAGTAAATATAAATTATTTCTGTCTTGTTGTTTGACAAAAACCTGAGGTTGGACATCTTTGAAAAGAAAATCCAGCCCAACTAAGTGATATCATTTTAAGACATTTTTTTGAGCCATATTGACTTCAACATGCATACGTAACACAGATACATAATATATGTATGTATGCATGCATATGTGGTCCTCTTGTGCATGTACTCATTTCAGATGATACAAAAACTCCAACTATTTCAGATAATACAAAGACTCCATTCCTCGAGGCAATCACCCTTCACCATATGCCTGGGCATCTCTTAGCTTTAGAAAGCCACAGAAATCTCGAGAGAGATTTCTTGATATGCCTGACAATTCACAAAAATGAAGTTGGATCAAAAATGGCCTGCAGGCAGTTGCTCATCAGACTGAAGCTAAGAGGAACTTTTGGTTCAAGTTTATATTCACAACAAATTAAACCACAGAACTGACTAACTTTCAAATTGATTAATCCTATAATCCTAGGAATACAAAGGGCTTATCTGCTCTGCCTGGTTGCTCTGTCATCATATTGGTCAGCAATTATTTTGGGAAGACAGGAACAGATGATGCCACTTTACACTCCCTCTCTCCCATGTTGTGAATGTTACCCATGAGAGTGTTTTGGTGCTGTAGCTTTAAAACTCTTTTCCCTTTTATGTCACCTTGAGTGCTCTTGTTGTTTGGACTGGCGGTCTTTACCTCATGATAGGTTAATCACTGAAGGGGGAAAGGGGGGGAGAGAAAAAAAGTAATTAAAATATACAGTATAGGTTTCTTTAGGGTTTAATGCCAGCAACCTTCGATTTGCAGTGCAAATATTAGAACTGCTGTACTATTACAGCAGCTTTAGCAAATGTAAGTCTAGAAGACATTAGAGAACAAGGACCAACTGATTGTTGTGCTTAGATTTATGTATATCTCAATGCTTTTAACGTTGAATACAGAAATTTAGTTTAATTGTGTGTGTCTCTTTGTGTATGTCTGTGTGAGTGTGTATGCCTAGGAGTAGTGTTGACTCCTGGTGGCAGCCTGGACAAGTCCCCTCACTTTTCTTGACAATATTTTTCCCTTCCTTTCTTCCTAGGGCTGAGAGAAAACCTGGTTCAAAATGCCCCAGAAGATTTTACCTCCAAAGTAGAAGTACATCTCACAGTCTCACAGTTTCTTGCCTGATGCCTTAACAACTACACCAAACTGGTTTAGTAAGTGTATATGTATGAAAGAATATATGTCCACGATTATTTATCCACAGGATGAAAAAATAATTCATTTTTTGGAATTGTTTCCTTAGAACAGAATACTGGCAGAACACAGAGGCACAATGTGGTAGCAGCAGTACCAGACCAACTATCTCCAAAAGCGTCTCAGTCCTGACAGGATTTTTGCAAATAGGCTGAAATTCATGCCAACATGAGAGATGACTGCAGCAGCATAAGACTGAAGATATACGTTTAGTTACAAAAACGTTTGCAGACTCTGTAATATGTTTAGGATTGTACATTGCATATTCTGTACTTTATAACCTGATTCTAGAACAAAAACCAAATCTCCACAGAATTGAACTTACATGTACCTGAATCAGAGGATGATGTTAACAAGGCCTTAACTTGGAATAACATCAATTATTGCTACATTTAAGTTATAAAGGCGCTATATTTAAGTTATTAGGGACGTATAGATGGAAAATAAGGAGCTGTAAGCTGTAAGTCCCTACTGCCACTAGTTATATTCTACCAGGACATCTGAAAAAACATAGAATTGGAAGTGCAGGAATCCAAATTTTCCCAACAGAAGGCTATATCCAAGCACAGGAATGCTAATTTGTGATTAGTTATTGGTTCTACTCTAAGACTGCTCTTTCTGTCAGTAGGACCTCTCCTGTTATTCAATTGACCTCTACCTTTTTGGAGCTTTAGACTACACTGACACACATAGTTCTTTGCATTATTTATCTATGTTATCACACAATAATTTTCCAAAAATGCTTTCTCCCTACTTGAATAAAGTGATGAGATTAGCTATTTCCATACCTGATGGTTAGAACTTTCAAAAATGTTTACTCTTGAAGTGAAAGGAAAGCTTTTGAGGAATTCTCAATACTCTTGAAGTGAAAGGAAAGCTTTTGAGGAATTCTATTGCATTATTCCATAAGTGAGATGATAACACTCAGAATGTGTGAATGCACATAAGCAGGTGCATAAAATTGACAGTTTATGGCATTAAAAATTATGTAAAATCATTTTCCCCAAGTAACTCCAACCATTTACATTACAACCCTGATAAAATGCATCTATTATTCTATTTATGAATGCTGTTTGCCCACATCTTTCAACTGACTTTTGATTCTGATCACCATGTCTTTCAACTGACTTTTGATTCTGATTGTTGTCCTTACTGTAGTTTATCTTATATCTTATATGATGCATATCTTATGCTACCTTACTGTAGTTTATTTTATATGATGCATCAGACAGTGGTTAAAACTGAAAGGGACTTCACCACCTGCTTTTTTGTTCATATTTTCTTCTTATGCTTCAGTCAGTTTTCAATAAGCAAAGACATTTGCATCCACAGATGGCTTTGGTAAAGGGAGAAAAAAATATTTGTCAATTTTTGCCTTCCTGCATTAAATGAAAAAAAATCCCCTTTATACACGCTTCCCAGGCACATTTTGTTCAACTAAATAAAATTAGTAGTTATGTTGAATTACATAACCCTGATGTACAAAACAAATTTTCTCGCCTGTTAAATAAAATTATAGGAATAGCTCTTCAAAGAAGACATTAAAATTAAAAAAAAGAGAGAACAGTTGGGCAAGAATATTAAAAATGCCAGAAAATGCAGGTAATAACATATTCATCTCTCTCATTGCTGAAAACTGCTATGTTATAAACTGCACATATCTTTCCACCCTTAGTGTTAAATACTTCTTAATTAAATGGGCTATTTGGGAGTTGCAGACTATGTTTTATTTTTACATTCCTGAATTTTCATCTTCTGCAGTTTTCTGTGTGTTGTTTTTTTGGTTGGTCCCTTGTCTCCAGTCAATAGCATTTTAAAAACTGTTGTTTAAATGTATTTAATGTATAGGATTAAGATTGGGAAGTTTTATGGGCATTATGTCTGCAAGTGTACAGGCAATCCTCATGTTACAATCACAATTGAGCCCAAAAATGTATGTTGCTAAGTGAAACATTTGCTAAGTGAGTTTTGTCCCATATTACGACTTTTCTTGCCACAGTTATTAAGTGAATCACTGCATTTGTTAAGTTAATAACATTTTTGTTAAGTGAATCTGGCTTCTCCGTTGACTTGACTGGTCAGAAGGTTGAAAAAGGAGTTCACATGACACTGCGACTGACTTAAATATGAACCAGTTGCCAAGCATCTAAATTTGATCATGTGACCATGGGGATGCTGCGATGGTCATAACGTCATTTTTCAGTGCCGTTATAACTTTGAATGGTCATTAAATGAACTTTTGTAAGTCAAGGACTACCTGTAGTGGTTTCTTTGAAAACCCAACTGATGGTGTGGTCTTTTGCTTTTGTAACATTTTTTTCCCCCAAGGTTCTGAGGGTCATCTCCATTAAAGGCACTTATAGGGTTCCGGTTAGTATTTGCACATGCCGGTTTAAAATAAATAGTATTTGCCCCCAGAGCATTTGCATTGCAAAGTACATGGACAGCCTTTTACTGGGAAGGCATCATGGTATTTGACTAAAAACTGCTGGGGAAATATTCATAATGCTGAATTCTTAACAGGCAAGCCTTGAATAAATATCAAAAAAAGGCTGGAGACTCTTGCTGGGTTTTATTGTTATTTGGACATCTCCACCGATACTGAAATAATCTTCTTTAGTTCACTATGTTATGAATTACAGATAATACCTTTAGCCTTCAATGGGGTCTTGATCTACAATTCTAGGAACTGTTCCCCACCCTTTTTTATTCTCCATTGAACTTCATAATGGAAATTTGTGGGGGCCCAAGGCAATCATTTCACATGTTCTTTGTATTAGCTTGTCCTTTCTGATTACACCAGGGAGAGAGAGAGAAAAAATCAGTGATGCTGTACTTGGAAATTGCGCTATTCTGTGAAGATGGAAGGACAGAGAGCAGCTTGTTTTCCTTACAGGTTTCCCTTTTCTTATTCTCTAGGATGATTAAGGTTTTCTGATCCTTTTCTTAAAAGCTCTTTTCTTAACTTTGCTGAAAAATCAAAAGGCAGCTTTGCAAGCGATCCAATTTTATCACTGCAGCGCTCAAATATCCCCCCTTTGGAAATTACAGGGAAGCTTTTACGAGTGAGGAAAAGCTGAAGCGCCTAGCAAGATAAATCTATTCTGGGGAATATACACTATTCTCCTCCTGGACTAGGATATTTGAAAAGGTAGCGCAGCTATAGAAAGGGGAAATGATTAAAGAGCTTCAATTGTGGGTTAAGGCACCAGGCTACAAAACGGGAGGTTGTGAGTTCTAGTCTCTCCTTAGCCATGAAAACCAGCTAGGCGACCTTGGGCCAATCACTCTCTCTCAGTCCCACCCATCTCACTGGGTTGCTGTTGTGGGGAAAACATGAGGAGCAAGGTGTGTTGGTTACATTTGCCTCTCTGAGTTATTAGTAAAAAAATAAAATTAATTAATTATTTTAGGTTACTTGATTAAATCAGAAGTTTACTGATTTCATATACAGGGGAGAGGACAACTGCAATTGGAGGATGGCCTATTTCAGACCTCAGGAAAGAGCCTTCGCCCCCATTTCTGCAGCTGGCCACTTGAGGGGAGAAAATATTAGAAAAAGATGCAAGGATATGCGTGGTAAGAGAGAGGGGGAGGGAGAGAGGGAAAGAAAGAGGGAGGGAAGAGGAGACATTTATCCTCCCACTTTTGTTCTGATCTCTTTTATTGCATACTTATCCCCCAATAGATTACTCTCAAGCCATAAACACTTATGCCCACCTCTTTTAAAGGAAGTCTTTGATGTAACTCCTCCTCCTTGTTGACTCAAAATAAGCAATCTTTTTCTGTTTTGTGGTTATCCTTTTTTCTTTACCTTCTTTTTTCACACTTTTTCTTTGCATTTAGATTTAAAAAAATGGAAATATGAAACAAATGTTCATCAGTAAAGAACTGAAAGACTTACAATGCTCCAAAAGTTAGCTCATTAAGGATCAAAGCTGTTTTTCTTAAGTATTATTCCTTGAGATCCTTGAGGCATATTGTTGATCTAAATATGCCTCTCACACAAACTGATACAGAAGTTTCCAGACATCTGGCTCTTAGATTACCAGAATAATAATATGGACTATCGCACTTTTTCCTCTTTAATAAATCTTTCTCATTCCTCCATTCATTTTGTGGAGGGAAACAAGGAGAGAAGAAATATGGGTAGTTCTCAACTTACGAACCCAATTGAGCCTAAAATTTCTGTTGCTAAGGGAGATAGTTGTTAAGTGAGTTTTGCCCTTTTTTACAACCTTTCTTGCCACAGTTAAGTGACTCACTGCAGTTGCTAAGTTAATTAAGTGACTTCCTCATTGATTTTGCTTGTCAGAAGGTCACAAAAGGTGATCACACAACCTCAGGACACTGCAACCACCATAAATATGAGTCAGTTGCCAAGCATCTAAATTTTGATCAGCTGACCATGAAGACACTGCAATGGTTGTAAGCATGAAAAATTGTCATAAGTCACTTTTTTCAATGCTGTTGTAACTTCAAATAGTCACTAAACAAACTGTTATATGTCAAGGACTATTTGCACAGTAATGGGAAAGCAAGGAAGGTTACAAATCGAAAGTTGTTTGGATCTCCTATAACATTTGTCAGTGCAATAGGATAATTGCATGTGGTAGTGTTTCATCTTGCATCATCCAAATTTAAGTCTTGCCTGGAAAGAAAATAGTTTTTATAAATGAATATATTTTAAACCTTCATAGTTTAACATTTAAGGTAGTAAAATGATACCTAGGTGAAGTATTTTGAAGATGTAAAGCACTAACACAAGAATATAAAAAGTGGGTTTCTATTTTTCATTGACTATGCATTTATTTCCATGTCAGGATAGTTACAAAGAATAAAGAAAGAACATCTAATTTAGTGTCCCAAAGTCATATCCAGATGTTGTATTATTGCTGCAGATTATAGGTAGATAAAACAGATAGAGCCCTGGGATATTAATTTTTGTTGCTGAAATTACACAGCAGCCACTGCAGAGTTACAGCTAAATAATAAACAGAATAGTTAAAATAAATTAGCAGAGATAAAGATGCATTGGTATGTCATCAGCTAAAACACTTTATGTGCCAGTCCATCTGGAAGATGTAATTACAGTTAAATTTGTTACTGTAGTACTCAGTTTTGGCAAGCACATATTTTATACATTCTGGCTTTGTCAAGGGGATTATTTGACATGTTAATCTCAGGCTTTTACCTAACTATCCCAAGGCTGATGTTGTTTACTGACTACAAAAATCCACGCCTGAAAATTTGGCAATTCCAAAAATAGCTCCATTTGATTCAAGCTAATCTATATGTGAGATTTGAAAACTAGAGGCTCTGTATCTTCAGCTAATTGTTATGAGACATCTACAATCAACTGGGACTTCTTTTTAATATAATTGGCAG